GTGCTCTTCCGGAGGGCCGGTTGGAGGGTGATATTGATGGTGAGGAGGCGCACGTGGCAACAGAGGTAACAGCGTTAACATCAAGATCAACAACAGCAACAACAACAACAACAGCGACAACAACATCGACACCATTGATATCGGCGGTTGTGAAGACAACGAAGGGCACAACGCCAATACTCTTCACAAAAACGACATCATCGACGACAATGACAATAGTGGGAACAGCACAACCACAAACAACAACGACGACGACAACAACGACACATCTTGGAGCGAAAGAATGGCTGATTACCTTGGAGAAAGGATGCCAATGGTTACAGGAGATTGTGCGGGACATGTCTTTGTGCCTGCAAGCGGAGCCAGGAGTTGAAGGGGGAGCGATTTCTCTGGCTGGTTGGTTGAAGGATAAAAGTGAGGACATGCTGGAGATCATCTGGGAGCTGGAGGAGTGGCCGGATCCCCGGCTCGAAGTCTGCATCGATTGGAGGAGGGCAGATGGCATCATGTTTGTCTGCAAAACCCTCTTCAATGAGGGTCGCGATCTGTGTGCTATTCTGGAGGACCGGTTGGAGGGTGATATTGATGGTGAGGAGGCGCACGTGGCAACAAAGGTAACAACGTTAACATCATGAACAACAACAACAACAACAACAACAACAACAACAACATCGACACCAGTGATATCGGCGGTTGTGAAGACAACGAAGGTCACAACGCCAATACTCTTCACAAAAACTACATCATCGACGACAATGACAATAGTGGCAACAGCACAACCACAAACAACAACGACACATCTTGGAGCGAACGAATGGCTGATTACCTTGGAGAAAGGATGCAGATGGTTACAGGAGATTGTGCAGGACATGTCTTTGTGGCTGCAAGCGGAGCCAGAGGTCGAAGGGGGAGCGATTTCTCTGGCTGGTTGGCTGAAGGATAAAAGTGAGGACATGCTAGAGATCATTTGGGAGCTGGAGGAGGGGCCGGATCCCCGGCTCGACGTCTGCATCGATTGGAGGAGGGCAAATGGCATCATGTCTGTCTGCAAAACCCTCTTTAATGAGGGTCGTGATCTGTGTGCTCTTCTGGAGGACCGGATGGAGGGTGATATTGATGGTGAGGAGGCGCACGTGGCAACAGAGGTAACAGCGTTAACATCAAGATCAACAACAACAGCAACAACAACAACAGCAACAACAACAACAACAACAACAACAACAACAACAACATCGACACCGGTGATATCGGCGGCTGTGAAGACAACGAAGGTCACAACGCCAATGCTCTTCACAAAAACGGCATTGTCGACAGCAATGACAATAGTGGCAACAGCACAACCACAAACAACAATGACGACGACAACAACAACAGCGACAACAACAATAACATCAACAACAACAACAACAACAACAACAACAACAACAACAACAACAACAACAACGGCAACATCAACAAAATGCCTACTACTATTACCTTCCCCCCACTGTGCGTGGTGTCTCTCCCTGCTGATCCGCTAATCTTCGCTTCACAGCGGGTGGGAGTGGGATAAACGACGACCCTCCATTGATTGGGGTTGTCCGGCCCTCAATCCCCAATCATGATGAGGTGTAGGGGTAGGTTGTTTAGGGTTTCGGGCTTGGGTGTGTTTTGGCTGTTGGCGTATTTGATGGAGATGTTTTTTCACTTAGGTTTTCGTCATGTACGCAGGAGGTCAATCCTTCCCTTCTCCTGGGAAGTAATCAATGCCTTTTGCTCTATGGGGGATATTCAAACT